AGCTGAACATAACACATATTAGAAGAAATAAAGAATTACAAGCAGGGTGTGAGGAATTCATTTTTCCTTTGGAATGGAATCTCAGTATTAAACTACCAGGAAAAAGCTGTGAAAGGAATCAGTGTTTTTTCCACTGCTTTGCTCATTGTAGAGTCATTTCGACATTGTAATATAGGTGTCAAATACTAATAAATCAGCTGCCAAATGCTATCAAATACTTACTTTGCGCAGGTGTAAATGATCACATAAAATGCAAAGCACTGATCCGACAGCAGAGATCTCCAAGTACCATTTCTGTCTTCACCAGTTTTATAGAACTATTTAAAAAAAAAAGGTCCAATAGGGATTTTATTCCTTGTTACTCAAGTTACCAGGTTTTTTTGTGCTTTCTTACTTTTTGGGATGTGGTTGCCCTCTACCCCCTCACCCTCTCACTTGACACCAAGGGAGAGAACACAACAATTTATATGGAATTGCTTTGGACCGGTCCACAAAGAAAAATATTGTTCAAAAATAATGTTCTGAATGATAAAGCATTTTTCCTGCTAAAACATCTCTGTAAGTGCCCCAGCATCATCAACTGATGGCAGCACAGCTCTGGGAATAAACGTATTTTCTGCTAATGGCAGAAATCAGGGGAAACACGAACCTGGTACAGATTCCCGATACAGAATGAAACATATGATTAAAGTTAAATGCCAAATCCTAGTGGCACTGGGGCAAATTAAAGTTTATTTTTCATTCCTGTTTATTCTGCCTTCTCTTTTTAGCTAATTCATCTTGTTTCATTTAATGCCGAAGGTTTTTCCTTTCTGTTTGGCCACTTTGGTGGAAGGGGGAACAATTCATTTTAGGCATGTGGCCTTTTGGTAATAAGATTAAAGCTTCAGGCAAGGCCCAGATCCCAAAACAAGAACTGTGCAGGCCCTCTGCGAGTGTATTCAACACTCCAAAGACAGGGTCAGTGTACTGTGACCCCAACCACTTCTTTGCCTCTCCAGCAGCACAGCCCCTGGCACAGTCCAAAGGCGTCTGTAGCGTGGTGCCACGCGTACATGCACGTGCTGTTGTGACTCTCGACCACTCAATGCATGATGTTTATGTAAGGCTGTGCACTGTGAAAGCACTCTTAATCCCATTAATAGAAGATGTATTGCATTGCAATATTTGTTATGAAGGAACTGTGATGCAGATTTTATTATGACAAAATCATGTCTTCACCTAACAATTCATAATGACTTTCTATCTATTGTCTTATTTCAGACTTGCTGGTGAAAAATAAGTACATCTGTCTCACTGTTGGCTGATGGAAGTGCACAGTGATTAATTAGCACTGGGCCAGTTTTGTATCATCGGATATGAACTTGCCACTTCTCTCTCTGTTTCATCTCCACCATTCCTTTGACCAGCCACAATTTTTTCCAGCATACTGGGCACTTACTGTGTTACCAGGAGCAGCAGGTATGTATGGCCTAACCCGTCTGAAATTGTTCTTTTTAAAGATAATGACCTTATTAAGTATAGAGGCTGTCCCAGCCATGTTGGCACAGAGTTAGGTTGCTTTTAGAGGTAACATCTGCAGTTAGTTGGGCAGACACTACCCACAGAATTCCTATCAAGAACTGAGGGCAGCCCTTAGAGCTTTGAGAGAGCACAAAGGTGAGCAATTACAGCAAAACCTTCTCAATGAATTGGGTAATTTAAATTGATTTCTTTGATGTACAAATGTAAAACTGTAGTAATTCTTAACAGCTCTAAATGCATTATCATAAAAATGCCTTTTCCTCCTCTTCCATCTCAGCTTCAAGTCATCAGACACCCTTATTTGCACACAGAAATAAAGTAAAAATGTTTGTTAATAGTGATTTTACAAGTGCCTAAATGTTTGTAGTGTATACAACAAAAGCTGGTAGCACATAACATGGCTTTAAAAACCCCCTCTGCAAAACCCTTTCCCTCTCCGTCGCGCCTCACCCCAGCAAGGTGCAGCAGTGCAGGCAGGATGCAGTGGGAAGCGGTAAGGCTTTCTACCAATATTACTGCCAGAGGTAACGGATCCTCAGCCCAGGGCCAGCGAGGCTGGGAGTTATCATGCCTGTAGTTTAGGGCTAAGTCCATGCACACACGCACACACGGAGGCATAGTCGTCCTTGTGGAGCTGAGCTGAGGACATGAAGGAAATTTGTAACAATTCAGGTTAGCCCACGTTGTGTTATGTTACCAAACCTGTCCTGTAAATAAATACACTAATGTGTCACTTACTTGTAGCTAGCAATTACTTAAACCTGCATTCAGCTTTTAATGCACAGCCATGCATTTCCAAAGGAATGTTCTTGCTGTGTATTACTATAGATCTAGATTTGAAATTGAGATTGGTCACTATTGATTCTGTTAGTTTCTGATGATAGTGGTTACACAAGGTTCATAAAATTGCTGAAATATCCTCCATTAACTTGCCTGCATTTAGCCAAGATCCCCTTGTGTCCAGCTAACACCAACTTCATTGGCGTAATAACATTTCAGTGGCAATTTACAAACAAGGAGACGCTTTGTAGGGAACCAGAGCCATCCCTGAGGCAGCTGCTGAGGGGCTGCGGGTGCTGCACCCCAGCCTTGGCAGAGCACCCCAGCCTGCAAACGCCCATCCCCCGCTGTGTCCCGCAGCCCATGCACTGCATCAGAATGGGTTAGCAGTGTCCCTCTGCTCCGCCACTTCCAGGAGGTGCTGAGGGCACAGGCACAGCTGAAGTCCTGCTCTTCCCAGGCTTCTTCACCTCAAAAAAACCCAACCCCCAAACCAAAACCTCAAAGAGGCGATGTCCCTCTGGGGCTACCTGCTCACCATTGCCTGTGTCTGGGTGCTGGACCACCAGGCAGGAATGAGATTGTGGGGTTACGCAGCTTTCTGAAAGCAGCCCTGTGCTGGACATGGAACCACAGAGGACAGGGAATATTGGTTACTTTCCAGCTCTTCATAGCTTAATTTTACTTATGAAAGACGGTTAATTCTTCCCTTAGTCTTGTCTTCTCTGAGTGAACAATCCGAGCTCCTTCACCTTTGAATGACAAGATCAGCACAGACCTAGAAAATATGACATGAAAGCAATTTCCTTGTTTTCTTGCCTTTTGTGCTCAGTTGCAGTGCCTGGAACTAGACAAAGTCTACACTGAGACTTTTTACACTGTATGGAGATGATTGATAGATAAAAATCCCCTGTCCTGCCAGCCCTAACCCCCAACTGGCTGTGTGTTGGGTGGGCAGAGGACGTGCTCTGAGCCAGAGCACTGCAGTTTGTGACTGCTGCTCAGTCTGTGACCCTGGGCTGCACTGTCACCAGCCAGAAACAGCGACAGCAAGGTTTTGGGTCAGCGTAACTCACCACCAGATCCCTGTGCAAGAGGGTGTCATTTGGAAAATTTGAGAAGATGATATGAAGTAAAGTGAAATAACCCCCCTCCCCCCATCCCCAACCTAAAATCCACATTTTCATATGAACTATTCAGTTGCAATTAGCCAAACCTGTTGCTTGTTCTGGCTAGAATATGTTTCTCCATCACAAAGTGTTAGTTACAAGTGCACTCAGCATGAGCTGACACACAAAACCCGCCATGTCTTGGTTTGTCAATATTCATCAGGAGCTCCCTAGTAAGGACTCAGCAACAGATTCAGTCTCTGAAGTTTATCAGTTTCCTAAATCTCATTTGCCAGGACTTTGACATTTCAAACTATTCTGGGAAGGGCAAATTAGAAATCAATGAAGTGCTCATCAACAAGCTATCACTGCAGCCTTAGGAAATGTAGATCAGCCATTGAGGGGGAAAAAAAAAAGCTAAAATAGCCTTTATGGAGACTAAAGAAAAAACAAAACTGCAACCATTTCATCTGCGTGAACTATTTAGTTGCTGTACGTCTTTCAGAGTGCACAGCCCTGGGTAACTCACCAGAGAGCTCTCCTCAAAACCTGAATTCACAGGAGCGATACCAGAGTTGGGGCAGTCAGAAATGCTGCAGTACCCCAAGGACAGTTTCAAGTCCTCTTTCTTTAAAACTAAGATTTAGAAATATGGTCCAACCTTCCTTTCTGAGAATCCCAATGGAATAGCAACTAAAATTAATAAATAGCCCAAGGTAGAATTTAAGTTCAGATGCCACAGTGTTTCACTCACACGTGAGATTTTAAGAGTGTGGAGGCCTCACATATCTAAAGCTGTTTCTTTGTATCATTCCATTTTTGATTATTTATTTGATCAATAGCAGTGTGATTAATGCAGTTATTAGAATGCTTGCTATAAAAAATATATGGGATAAACCATGTTTGTGCACTGGAAGACTATTCTGATGATAAGGAGTTTGATCACCTGTTAAACAGAGGCTGTTTTCTGGAACTGACACCTGGTTAAACTAAAATATTTTGTTCAAAAATGAAAACTCAGCTGATTCCATTCTGCTGTATTACACAGAATAGCTTGAAGCTACACTTTAATGTCTGCAAAAGTCCATTAATCAGAAAAAAAATCTACTGATAAAAGGACTTTTGAATGCTGCACATACGGACATAGATAGTAGTATATATAATCATAGGAAATAAATATATTCCCCATGGATCTATTCAAAGGAGGGGGCTTTTTTGTTTGTTTTTAAGTGGCAGTGATTTAATTCAGGGTGTGTGTGTAAACATAATGCATATATAAGCCTGAGTTTGGAGGTAAATAAGCACTGTGCTGCTGACCCCTGCGTGACAGTGGTGAGGGAACAGGTGATCACTGAATCCCACTCGACTCAGACCAAATTTCAGTCACGGGCTGTGGAAAAGGAACGTTTCAGTTGCAATGTTCAGAATTTGGAACATAAAATAATTAGGAAAATGTTTAGTACCAACCCACCCTCTTTATTAAGTAGTTACTTCAAGTATTTTTAATAGTGCAAAATACTGTTCTGCATGAGTACAGCAACTATGGGGATTCACAGTAAAAAAAAACATCTTAAAAGATTTCCAAAGTCAAACAAAAAAATTTTTAATACTGTATTTTTAGCAAGAACATTTTTAACAAAGAATGTGTACTTTAACTTAATATGGTACAACAGAGAAACCATACTTAAAAGTTTCCATTATCTAACACTCTACTGCATATTCATTTTTCCATCTTAAAAGACCAAAAGCCAAGCTGAACTGAGCATAAAAAAAAGCATCAATTATAATCCTCATATTACGTCAGCTATTAGGGTTTAGCTCACACTTTTGAATTGGTCATCTAATGAAAGGACAGTTTTTACATCATTCTTTTAAAAAATGTACACACATTTCTTTTTAAAACGTAATATATATCGAGTATCTGCTTCAGTAAACAAAGCTTAATTTATAAACACAATCGAAACAGCTCCATGTTGAACAGTTTCAGTGATAAACTGGACTTGTATGATGTACAGCCAGTGAGGACCTTTGTGGCTTAAAATCATTGTGCCATCGCTATACAGTAATAGCTACCTCCTTAGAGAAAAAAAAAAGTTCTTTTTTTGGGGGAATAATTCCTGTATGTGCTTAAAAATACTAAAACTCCTTTCTAGCTCCAGGGACCTAAAAATGATCTGTTGCAACAGGCTTGGTTTGGTATGGTAAGCTTGTAAAAAGTCTCAGTATTTCTAATACGGCAGTTTTTGATGCAGCAACAGTAAATTGCTTGAAATTGTCCTTCAAGTTTCATGCTACAAATCCTGTTCTTCACACAGTACTGAAGGCATCAAAGGTTGCGAAGGGATGTTTTTCATCAACTATATAGTCTTCAAATAGTGGTCATTACACATTTTTCAACAATAGGTGTTTCCTTCAGTACATAATAGTAGGTTTGATGTATGTTCTGTTTTCTGGAGGGAAAAAAAGAAAGGAGAAGAAAAAAGGTGAATTACACAGTGACGCTTTTATAATTAGTTGAAGCTCGGGTGGATTTCCTCATTTGTTTGTGGAGGTTTTTTTCCCTGAAGCCAAATTATCAGATCCGTACGTGGTAGAAGCCAGTCACCACGGGAAGAGAGGCAGCGGCTGAGAGAGCCCGGCCGAGCCCTTGGGAGGTGAGTGTCAGCAGAGAGAGGACTGGGGGAATTGGGGCTCGGTGCTCCTGACCAGGGGAGCAGGTCAGGACACTCAGCGGGGCTGAACACCCACCAGCTCGGTTTCCAGTGGTGCCTGCCCAGCAGCACCTGAGGAGTTGAGGCTGTAAATACTCTGAGTTGGATTTATTTCCCTTGATGGCATTTGCTTTTTAATGGAGTGCTCATTTTCCTTCTTTTTTTTCAGGAGGCAGCCGGTGTTGTACCACATGCCTCCGTTAAGAGACTGAGTAACATGGCATCAGCTTTACAACATGACATTAGTACTTGCACAAAACCTTCAAGGGAAGAGTGTGTTAAATCAAAACTGCATTGCATTAGAAAATGTAATAGCAGTAAACCAGTATCTGTTCTTGGAAAACTGTTCTTTCAGAAACCACCACATTCCTTTAAAAATTATTTTTCTTTATTCAGGGAAATGAGTAGAAAGCCACTTATTTCCTTCATTAAAATATTCTACTTATCTATCTATACCTATCAACTGTGATTTTTCACATTAAGCAACTTTAAAACCAGAGAAAAAATACATATTGAAATGCCTACAGAAACTAAAGCTAACAAGAACCCATATTCTTGTTCATTATACAATGAATCATGAATCCACTCAGCTAAACCTGCAAGTACTGATCTTGAAGATGATAGCAAAATGATAATATTGAGAAACATTTTGTATAATGTTGACATCTCTCCCATTACTGTTTTACATATGCCAATACTGAACGCTCATAAGGGAAGAACAAGTATTGACCTGCTAACTGACACTGATCCTTGGAGCAATCTCAAAGTTTGCCACATTTCAATTTCAAAATGCATTTCAGCTATAATATGAGTGATTTATCATTTAGCAGTAGCTGTCAAAGTAACCTCCTAGATAAAACAAAAACATCTGGAACCATAAACAGAGGAGAGCAGTAGCTGAATTTTAATCCAAATCTGACATGTTCACTTCATTAGGAACAGGAAACAGCTAATTAGTAATTGAATGTTTCATGGTTTTAAGAAGGCTCAGACTTTCCAAACAGAGATGATTTAATATGTATTTTTGAATGTAAACAAGAATAAAGATCAGAAGAGCCAGGGCCATAACATCTCCAGAGGAACAGTTGGGAGCATGGGAACCTCCAAAGGAGGGACTAAAATTAGTTCCAGGCCTTTGGCTAATTAAAATTATTGCCTTAAACTTGGGGGTGTGGGGGGATAAATATTAAAGCTTGCAGAGGGGGTAAAGCAGAAATGCAAATATTGAACATTGTGGGGATTTTTCTTTCTTTTTCTCCTTCTGATTACTGGGAATTCGCACACGACTGCTCCCCGTTGCCGGCTGTAGGTGATCCAGCCCGAATTCTAACAAACAGCATGTGCAGGTCAGCACGGCTGCCCTCAGAAGAACGTGTCTGTGTAGTGACATTCTGCCACAGTGTGTGTCTCGCGAGCAGCAGCACCCCTGCGGCACCTGTACAGAGGCACCCAGAGCATTACATGTCCTGGGCACCCAATGCCCAACTCCCCAGATGTACGACGGCATCTCTGGCCTGGCCCTACGCTGGTGGGATGCCATTAGTCTGTGTAATACAAATGGGAGTCAGCAGGCATTAGGCACTTGATGCTATTCAAATGGGCACTGGGCGTCAGCTGCATCTTCTTGTACACGTTTGACACTTGGTATTTGTACGGACAAGGGCAGTTAAGGCACAGACCACACGTGTGCATGTTTGTGCTGTGTGTGCTACAAGGACTCTGTCTGCAAAGAGGAGGGGAGGAATCTGGACGTGCATTCAAGGAACAGTTGATTTATAAAAAATGGGTTCACTACAGGTCAGTAATATATAGAGATAGATATTTAGTTATTGATATTTTATTGTATTTTAAAACTCTATTTTTCAAACTAAGGTGGGAGTTGGTCATCGAAGGTGCTGCAGGCTCATGGACTGACTATTTAAACTTTGGAACAGGTTTCAGTGTTTCCTTCCTATTCCCTTTATTTCTCAAGGAAAGTCCAATGGAGGTATCTGGAATACCTGGAAGAGAGAAAAGTAAATGCCAAAGCTCAAGCAGAGTGCAACCACGCAGGAGGTGTTACTGATCAGTAAACAGAAAGTGCACAGTTAAATATTATTTCCGTTCTTATAAAGCTCTCAATTATTCTCCAGAAATTAAAATACTTTTTTGTTGCTGTGCAGTAAACTGAACTCCATGGCATTAACAACGTCATACAGCAACCACCTCTGAGCAGTTAACGTGTTAGGAGCATCTGTGCTACCACTTACACAGGAAAGACAATGCCATGTTGTCAAATCTTTCCTGGAGAATATTCACTATCTCCTCAGTGTGGCTGGCTGCAAGCTACATGCCATTTTATAGCATTTTACTGTATTATATAGCAAAGATCTGAATAAATCTGTGTGCAATAAATGTATTCTTTTATTAGGTTTATCCCTTAATCAAATATTCATTTATGTAGGCTTCATTCTAATAAAAAATGAGATTATACAAAGGTGAGCAAAAGCGTAGATTTACAGTAGTTTAAAGCCTAATTTCATTCTCTAGGGGTAATATTGACAATATAAAAACTGTATAAATGATATTCCCTAACACTAAATATGCTTATGAGCCCCCTGTGCATGTTATACTGCTTTACAGCCTACAGTGAAATGCATGACTGGCTTAATAAGCAAGACATTTAGAAAGGATTGTTTTTCCCCTTCACAATGTACAAGACAAGTAAAGAAGTAAAGATCTCAGTTTCTCAGTGAGCCAGAGCCTTTGTTTGTTAGTAATTGTAATTTTCCCTCAGGATGGTGGTGTCTTTCCTGAGCTGTTAGTCCAGGGACCAACATTCATCTCTTCCACACTCTTTTAGCAACAACATCATTGCTCTTCTCTTTCTTCCAAGGTTTAATGTGTGTATACAGGACAAATCCAAAAGCAATAATTATCATCTGTACACTTAGTCACTTTTTTTTCCAGCCTATCCAGCACCTCTGAGTTTCCTGACTCCTTTGTGAGGCTTTGTCTGGAATACCTTCTGGTCAGTAACTGAGCTGTATTTATTTCCATAAACTACTTTAAACCACAATGTGCACATGTAGCCTTGCAGCCCACATGCAGCACTGCGCCCGTAACGCTGCTGTGCAAATCCCTCCTGCACGGGAGCACCACGGCACAGCCGGCAGCTGCCATCAACCGACACGGCTACGGCTGGGGACTGTGCAGGTAACTTGGGAGGGGAAAGTCACTGGAGAAAGGACATTTGGGATCTGCTACGTAGTGAGGAAACAAAGATCAATCTGTTTTATCAGTAAATTAGTCATGCAGTTCAACAAATAAACCCCAGCACTGCGCGTTGCAGAGAACATGGACAGCAGAGATGCAATACACTGAACCCCCCCTTTGCCCATTCAGAGGAAAGAGGAGCTGGGGCAGATGCTAACATAGCAGTTCAGTGGAGCTCAGAGGTGGCTGTTTCTGCAGACCCAAGAGCAGCCATGCACCAGACCAGTGCTCTCGGAAGCTTCACACAGGTGCTGCTTGAGTGGTTGAACCACAGAGTCTTACATGACACCACACGTGTGCTGGGCAGGAGTTATCTCTCTGCTCTTCCTAGGCTATACAGAGTCAGCATTTCAGATCAGAGCCATGCCAAGATCTGGATGCAGCAGCACATGGAAAATACAATGCCGTAACAATAAATCTGACTTACAAATCTGGGGCAAATTAGTCTGAACCAATCTCTCGTTTTGCAGAAAGCAAAAGTAAAATCAGAAAACAGTTTCTTTCTCCTGTGGCTGTCA